CTTGGTCAAGCGGTATTGTTTGCTTCCAGCTGAACATTGCAAAGAGCTGCTGAGGTGCTGTCTCCCCAAGCAGTGGGACCTGCCAGCAAGGCGGATCTCCCAGGAAGTGTTTATACTACAGCAACAACCAGGTGAAGCCAATATATTCTACTGCAACCATCAAGGAGACCGGCCTTGAGGAACCAGGACTGCACATCAGCCCGTAAGAATCCTTGGGAACCTAACCCTCCTGACCCACTCACACGAGGCTCCCTGTCCCAGACCCGGGGAGAAGGTGTGAGGAAGCCTCCTGGGACCTTCCCAAGTTCAATAATGCCGAAGAGATCTGTAATCCAACCAAGAAGACATCTCCACGTACTTATGGACTCTTTCCAGCCTCCTCTGCTCTCCCCAGTGCTCAGGTGACAGCGCAGTCAGCTTCAGCCCCGGCCACTGCAGTGCACAGATCCCTCGCCTCATGCGCTGCAAACACTGGAACTCTCTAACTTTCACAACCTGTTGTGTGATGTGTAAGGAATGGCAGCCAGATAGATCAATAAGTATAGTATTAAACATGCAAGATGACAGTCACTCCACTTGGGGACTGAACCGCAGGGACAAGCTTAAAACAGTGGATGTGCTCTGGAGTAAATTCTCCATCCAGAGCACAGACTGATGGCTCCACCTGGCTATGTGCCGAAATCTATAGGACCTTCGGGAATCCAGCCTCAGCAGGGGGAGAAAATGGAACTGTGGAAGGAAGTTGAGGACAGGGGCATAGAAAGTCCTACTCTTCTGTATTCAGTGAAGGGCTTTTTTGTTCCTTTTACAAGAAAGCAATTTTCTTAGCTTTCTTGGAACATGCTTTATTATTTCCTTTGTATTGAGACAGGACACAGAACGTTATGGAATATGGGCATCTATTCTGATTGAGAAAGAAAAACTGTCATGGATAAATAAGTCTGATGTTCCTTGTGTTCCTCATGGCATTTAGATTTTTTTGTTTTACCTTTATTTATGAATGATTTTGATAAACAAATGGCAAGCAATAGGATATATTGGAGTAGATGAGGAAGCCATTTGGTGTAAAACTAACTTGGCCTAACCTTGTTTTTTCCAAAAGCGCCTGCCATGGCCATTGAGCATGCATTGTATATCTGCTTTAAGCATTTGCTATGTCCCAAAGGCAAGAGCAAAGGGCCTTAAAGGTGCAACTTCCCTCACAATGGCATTTCCTTAAGGATAAGCATCTCTCCCTAGGCTAGGAATTGATTGCTGTGCACACCTGTGACCACCCAGCTGGAGACAACAGACCTGCCACCCTGCTGTGTCCATTGAGACAGCAGACCTGCTACCTGCTGTGTCCATCAATCGCTGTACTGACAGAACAATCTCCTGACTATTGGAAAGGGACATTTCAATCATATGTGATCCATGCCCTTTGACTGTATATACCCACTCTGTACACCCTCACTTCTTTGGAGTGCTCCATTCCTTTGTGGAAGGACTTTCCCGGGCTATATGGTCCTCAAATCTGGCTCATAAGACTCACCCTAATTTTGATTTATAGATTGGCTATGGATTGTTTGCATCAACAATTTTCATAGCATCTACCTTCTAAGACAGCTGATCCCAGATGGCAAAAAGCCAAGCTCAGAGAGTGACAAGTTCCCAAGCAGGACAGGGGTTTGCTTTGCGTCACTTCTAGAGCAGCCTACGTGTGACAACACAACTTTGATTTCCCTTCACCTTCTTCTGTCTACAGACTGTCAAACACTAGAAAAGAAAATACCTGTGCCCTGACCAAAGAATTGTGCCTGCTCTTTCTGCTCTGGGCATTTGCTTTGGTGGAAGGGAAATCATTCACACACAACATGTGTGGACATAAATTTCAACTGCTCACCACCAGAACATGAGATCTACGTGCTCACGAGGAGCGTGAATAATAACTCTATATTTTGCAGGTGGAGATGAACTGGTGCTGTTTTACCATGGGTAGGATTTGACCCTGACAGTAAAATCTGGAGCCATAGGGTCAATTTCTCAAAATCTAGGCCAAAACAAATTTTTAAATGAATTCCACCTTCACAGAGATTTGGTTTCTTTTTTTTCCAAACATATTTCGAGTGATTGCAGAATGGTTGCCTGCTTTAGTCCATGCTGATATTTCTATGAAAATACTTTCCTTGAGCCCAAGAATAGAAGCAGAAGCAGGGAGAGGAGTTATTATTTATTAGACATTCACTCATACTGATAAATATTTGACCACAAATATCTATTGAGCATCTGTTACATGCCAGAGAAAGTACTGTGCACCGAGAACACAGAAATGTAGAGGGCAGCTAAAGCCCCTGCCCCGAGAAACACAAATTCTAAAAGCAGAACACAAAATAAATCAGTAAACACATCAATCTATGCTATAATGGTCCATAGTGTAAGTGCTAAAAGAATAATAAAGCAGAGGAAGAAGCTGAGAGGCAGGACCTCTTCATTGTGTTGTTAGAGGACGCCTTCCTGGCCTGAGTGCGTGGGAGAAGTAATTTGAACAATCAAACATTCAAATAATGATTAAGAGCATGGAGTATGATTTTATTTTATTACAGAAGATAGCAAAAATTTTAAAAATATAAAAATTTTAAAAATATAAATAAGTGTAGGTGGTCAAAAGGTACAAACTTCCAGATATAAGATAAATAAGTTCTTGGATATACTGTACAGCATAGTAACCATAGCTAACAATACTGTATTGTATATTTGAAGGTTGCAAAGAAAGTAGATCTTGAAAGTTCTTATCGCAAGAAAAAAAAATCTGTAACTGTGTGAAGTGATGGATATTAACGAAGCTTATTATGGTAAGCATTTCGCAATATATACATATATCAACACATCATGCTGTACATCTAAGACCAAAACAGTGTTAAATGTTAATTATATCTCAATGGAACTGGAAAAAATATACATAAATTCAGGACATTGTCTAAATTCACACACTTATAAACATTTTTGGAATATTTTCTTCCACACAATTCTGTGAAGTGGATAGAAGATATCAATATTATCTTCTCCCCCTTTTACAGATGATAAAACTGGTAAGTAATGAGAAATTCACACAGTTTGTAAGAGGCAGAGCCAGGATCATAAACAAGGACTTCCTGACCCCAAACACAGCACGTGCTCCAAGCACAATCCTTCTCATCTAGAACCAGAGCTGGTATTGAGCCGGTGGAGGAGCTCTTTTATTATAGACTGCAACCAAAGTGGACTACGGCCTGTGCTGTTGATGGCCCCTGATTGGAAGTCCATGCTCGTGTTTCCTGCCCATGCCCTCTTCCTCCTACAGCTGATTCCAACCAGAATGGACCCATAACCCAAAAGGGAGGAGCATCCAAAGACTTGATTCAGCTGTCCAGATGCCATTGGGTAAGAATTTGAACTAAGGGGTCAATGATCTTTAGACAATGGATCTTGTAGGTGGGCTGAATTCACGTGGAAAGAGCTCTAAGGAGCTATATGCACAAGGAGAGAGGAACAAAGAAAGTTCACTCAGAGAGAGGAAATAAAAGGAGGAGGAAAGAAAATAAAAGAGTAAACTAACACCAAAACCAAAAATGGCTGTATTTTTTTCCTGCAGAAAGTATGGAATGGCCCAAGATACTGCTTCCAATCCTCGACCAAAGCACACACCATTCGTGGAAACTACAGCACTGGTAGCTGGACTGAGAAGACGCTTCATTTTTATCTCAGTCAACACCTCTAGGGATAAAATTCCTACATTTGAATGACTGCTATTGACAAGGAGGACATTAGGAGCTGAAGAACCGTCATTACTTGTTTACCAGTAGAAATAAAAACCACAGGTCATCTAAAAATCTCTTTTTGGCTCTCTTTTTCAACTTCTCCACCTACCGTAAAGAGCAATAGCATTTCAAAACAGGAGGAGAACTTAGAGCTCATCAAATCCAAGTAATCAAGATAATTTCAGTGCATTTAGCCACATAACATCCCTGTGAGGTTGGGAGAGGCAGAGAATCCAGATGGAGAAGCTAAGGCACCAAGAGGCTTCGTCCGGGTCACGGAGCTTATGTGTGGCAAGGAACTCCCGGCTCTGAGTTCTGTCTTTCCTTCAGCAACAGTTACACAACACTTCTCTTAAAACACTCCCTAGAGACACTTCGCCAAGCTGAAAAAGAACAAGGTCTAAGACCTTCCACTTCAGAATAATTGCAGGCCAGTGGGGCCACACAACAGAAAGATCTTGAATAAATGCAGTGAAACAAAAAGCAGCGACTAGGAGGAGGAGGCTGTTCTGGGGTGTAGTAGCTTATACAGCAGGACATGTTCCAAAAACCTCTAAGCTTGCTTCCTGGTCCTGTCCCTGTTCATTAGGATGAATTGCCCACGTCACGTAGTTTCCCCAAGCCCAACCTTCATCTGCCAGACAGAGAGAACAGTACTGATCACCAGGGTGCTATGAGGAATGCAAATGAACAAAATAAAAGGAGCATCAGAGAACTGTACAATCATGGATTGATAGAGCTGAAAAGAGTCCTTGACAGGTAATCTAGCTTTGAAATATAGAATAAGGTGAATTATACTCCTCTACCTTGGCAGCTATTACAGACTTGCATACATGTGTATTTAAATCTCCAGCACTCTGTCACACAGTCGGAAAGAATGCAGAGTGGAGAAGGAGTCATTGATCCGCTTCCACTGCTCCTCTCCACTCTGGGGCTCCTTGCTCAGTCCAAGATGAGAGGTTGATTGGGACAACAGAAGTAGCTGTGAAATAGGGTAAGATTTATTTCTAGAAACTTTCTATGCATTCCTATCCTTCCTACCATCCCTACCCCACTGCCCAGCTGTTGTTTCCACTGTCTTTTGCCATATTCGCTCAGTGTCTTTATGCTATCCTTCATTATCCAAGGCTACACACTACTGACTTAAATGACAAGCAATGTCTTCCCCGAAGAAACCAGTTTCATTTCCCTTTAGGTTACAAAAGAAATAGCCAACACATAAACTTCATGTACTCCCCTGCAAAGCCTGCAGAGCTCTGTCATTTATTAGGTGCTAGCTTCAGCTTATAGACAGTTTTCTCATACCACAAAAATTCTTAACAGATGAAATACAGCTAGATTCCAAAAGACGACAGTGCTAGAAGAGTCAGATACACAGAAGGTCAATAAAGCTTGGTACTTAAAATCGCCAGAGACTGAGAGGGTAATGATCTATGTGGGACAAGTCTGGTGCTTAAGTAGCTGAACAGAGGCAGAATCTGACAGTGGCTTTGACCTCCCTGTTCTCTGGCCAGCTCCCAAGCCTGAGCTTTCATCAATGGAGATGTGAGCGTAAGGGAAGCTTAACTCTGGCAACCACCATGAAGTCAGAGGACAAGAGTGACCAGTAGCTATTGATCTGGCTCTGAATGGAAGAGAAATGGGGCACTAAGGGGGTGGAGGAAAGCTTGTTCCCTCCATGCCCAAAAGACAAACAGTTCTTTTCACAAAAAGTAGAATGAAGTCTAAGGCACGTATGTGATCTCAGATTGAAGAACAGCTAAGTATTTACAGATTTCTCCACTGATGCTCAGAAAGATGCCCCGTTTTTCCCCATTCAGTTGAAGTGGCATGTCTTCAACTCTCACAGTACTTGTTATGAATAAACCAGACTGGCCTTGTCAGCATCTGAAATTCTATAACAAGTATTTTTCAGGCTTGGCTGGCATTCTAAGGAGAACAGCAGAATTCTCACCACTGCAAAGTCCAAGGAAATCAGAATATGAACCCAGCACTGATGTATTTTCTTTTGACATGTACAGTTTTACTGAAACTGCTGACTTGGACATTGAAATGCAAAGATTTTTATCTGAAAATTCTATGAGGACTTATGGCTTCAGGAAAATGTATTATACCCCTATTGCTGTAATGTCATATCACCTTCTGGCTTGAAATTCACTATGTTCTTACCCCTAGAAGCCCTTTCAAAAAGGGTCAAATATGGACCCCCTCTTTCTTTATTATTCACTTTGTAATTGTGCACTGATGCCCAGTAGGAAAGATGCTGCATTTAGCACTATCGCTAGCCATATATCAATTCCCGGGTTTCTGAGACATCTGCCAAGATCTGTGTTCAGTCCATGAGCAAAAATATCATGGACTGTGGGTAGATCTCTGTTTTCTAGGAAGATACGTGAGATGGAAATTGGCATATTGCATTTGTACTTTAGAGTGTCTGGTGAAATTATTTTGGATCCTTGATGTATGGGAAAGTGGTTTGGATGGCTGGCCAGACCAGACATTGTGCCTGCTCACGCCAGGGGAGCCGAAGCAATACACTGACCCCTTCCAAACCATTGGCGGGGAGGCTGGGGAATGAGGGAAGTCTCTGGTTCTGAAGTCTGGTGATTTAAATGCTCGGCGGGGAAAGTCATTGGTCAGTTGATAGGTCAGCCATGGTCGGAAGACTTTTTCTCTTAACATAACAATTTGTCTTCAGACTTTTTAAAACCTCCAGTAGACTCCATGCTCGCCAAATATTTAGTGGTTTTGTGAAGTTTTCTGGTATTCATGTCAATTGCAGTTCTTCAGAAACCCATTTAAAATGTTGTTTCTTTTCCATATGGCATTCTGAAAGGGAACAGAGGATTACAAATTTAAGACTGTGACAAAAAAGAATGCTCTTTGAGCTATTTCCGTACTTTCTAAGCTTCTTAAATGAATATGACATATATTGTGTGAAGACTGAGTACCATGTTTATCATCAGGATTGTGATTTAAAGAAAAACATATATTCCCTTGGCAACTGGGATAACCGTGTGCATGGTATGCTGTAGGCTTTTGGTGTTTATCTTTTGTTATATTTTGAAGTTTGATTGACTGATTCCATAAACGAATCTTGAAGAAGAATAAATCATCCAAATTTCATCTCAACACTTTCAATGCATATTTGGTACAAATTGAAAGTCCGGGACTCGGAGCATTATTTGCAAAGTTGTTCTTTGTCTACCTCATTGCCCCATTACGTATGCTGATTTAGGATACCACGTCGTCTTAGATTTTCAAACTCGTGGGACTGTAACTTCACCCATTCTCATGAATATGACTCTACAGACAAGCCAAATAATGTAGCCTCTGAGAAGCCCTGGAGCCCCTGCCAAGGCCCTGACTCACTTTAGGGTGGTTCTCCGTCCGTAGATTTGCTGCTCTTTATATCCTATGATCCTCCCCTCAATCCCCAACTCTGGCTACAGCCTCTTCAGCCAAAGAATGCATTCCCAACCCAAAGGCAGCCATCCACAGACTGGGCAAGGGCAGGAGGGGGTCCAGCTGGAGAACTCTACTCAACAAAATGGTGGAATGACTGAACCCATCAGATCTCCCACTTGGAATCTGGCTGGGAGATGTGAAAAGTCACAGTCAGTAGTGGAGAAAGGCTTTGAGAGATAAACAAAGGAAGGTAGAAGGCACAAGCAGGGGGCAGAAGCCTGAAGGCAGCAAGAAATGGGTAGAGAATAAGGCAGAGGGGAAACCGAACCAAAAACATGGCGGAATATCCCTGGGGTGCCAGGCATCACCAAGGTGCAAATTATTAAGGATGCTGCTGCCTTCTGACTGGCTCCCCAATTCTCTGTCAGTTTGGCTGTGGAGTTGCTGAGATGGGTCCCTACCCTTACCCACATCTCCATTAACAGGGATATGAGAGTGGAGCTTTTTCCAGTTTCTGACAAATGATATTAGAACCTTAAGTAAATAATTCATTTAATATGAAATGAAACATCTATTTTGTAGATAGATGTTTTGATGGGTCTTATGAGGCCCACAGAGATAAAAATCCCCACTTACTGCTCTAAAGGGGTTCATTGCCTTAAAGAAGTCATCTCATTGGTGTTGATGGAGGCAGTAAAGGTTGAACAGTGGGCACTCTGGAGCCAGACTGCGGGCTTTCAAAGCCTTCCCCAATATCACTAGCTATGTGCCCCCGGCCAGTTACTTAACCTCTTGGTGCCAGGTTTCCTCATCTATAAAATGGGACAACACTCTAAACCTACCTCATAGCGTTCTGTCAGGATTATACAAGGCAAGGTCTGTAAAGGGCTCGGAACACAGTTCAGAATTACAGAGGTGCCCATGCCCTTTCCAGGTGTCTCAAGTCCTTGGGGGAAAAGGAAGGAATTGGGAGGATTAGAAGCAACTCCGTATAAACCCACTCCTCAGGGGAAGACACACTGTATGCCAAACCAGGCGGTGTGGTTGGGGAGTTACAGCTAGAGTCCAAGGCAACTATCCAGAGAACGGACACCCACTCTGTGCCCTTGATATTTGGCTCAGAAGGGCCTCCTCTCATCAGTCACTCACCTGCCAGGGAAGGGATTTGGCTCCCCTGCCTCCTCACCCTCTCTTTGTTCCTCCCTTGGCCAGACAGCTGCTGCATATGCTGCTCTTGTCTCTGCTTCACCTTTCCCCGCGTGGTCTTGTCTCTCCCCTTTTCTTCCCTCCTCATACTGTTTTACAGGAAAGAACCAGGGGCAATTTTCTTTACAACATATGTAACCACACAAAACATACACTTCCCCCTTGGCTCTGGTGTGTTCATGAGTCGATCAAGACCATCTGTGCTTGCATATCCAATATCCCTCAGTTCACCCCACCTCCTAAATGTAATCCTTTCTGTGTAATTTAACAGGGTCTTTGTGCTACAAAGCCCTTAATAATTTTTAAACAAAATTGCCTTAATACATAGCAATTGCCAAATGCAATACGGAAATATTTATTTCTCCTGCCAGCTATAGATTCCAGAGTCTGTAGCTGCTTTGCACCACTTGCAAAACTGTGTGATGCAAACCATAAAAGACACCTTTCTTAAAAGCTACTCCTTTGGGGAGTCTAGCAACACATCACATTCAATTCTACATAAAATGAATGTTGCAAATTATCAGCAAGTTAATTGCCCAAGGCAAGATCTCAAGCCAGCCCTATCATATTAATTTCCCCTTGACCCTTCTATGGCTGACATCTGACGGGCAATACTCAGTCTTTCCTGTGGCACCTGATTTTCAATTGTTGACTAGTGCTTATCATCACTATAAAACACTCAGGAATAACCTCTACTGACAGACAGGAATCCAGCTGGAAAGTAACATCATCAGAGCATCCTGGAATATGTAATATGGGCACATAACTATAGTCATGTATAAGCACTGAAGATAAAAAATAATTTTTGTAATCCTATACTTACAAAATTATTTAAGTGTTTGTGAATTTTCCAGTGGATTTGGAAATATCTAAATAGCCATTCTTTCAGGAATTCTTGAAACCCCATGAGTTTGCCATTTGCTTCAATGAATCTTTGAAATGTTTTGAGTTCTGTTGGATCATTCAACAAATGCTGGTTGAACCCTTTGTTGTGTGTAGTCCTGTTGGGTAGATTCTGAGGAGAACACAACAAATCAGATACACATTTTGGGCCCCAAGAAGTTTACAATCTAGTAGAAGAAATAAGACATACATACATGTGGTAGGCACATTAATAGCCACTCAAAGATGTCCACTCCCTGACCTCTGGGACCCGTGAATAGGTTACCCTACACGGCGAAAGGGACTTTGCAGATGTGGTTAAGGTTAAGGACTCTGTGATAGAGGACATCATCCTGGATTCTTTGGGTGGCATCAACCCAATCACACGATTCCCTAAAATCAGAGCCAAGGAATGTGACCTCTAGAAGCTGGAAGAGGCAAGAAAATGAATTCTCCCCTCGAGTGTCCAGAAGGAATACCATCTGCCCACAGCTTGTTCTTAGTCAAGTGAGAGCCATGTCAGATTTCCGAGCTCCAGAACTGTGGGCTAGAATATTTCTGTTGTTTTAAGTCACTAAGTTTGTGGTAATTTGTTATAATAACAATAGAAAACTAATATAATACGTAATTTTAATACAAGGGACAAAAGTGCCAATTGCTATAGAAGAGATGCAAAGTGAATGGGGTCTTAGATGAAGGTTAGCATGACAAAACTGACTATCTTTATCTTCTCTCACCCTTGTCGTTCTTGACCCCAGATTTGTATTCCTTTTAGATTTGTAACAAATAACATCCATATCAAAATATCATCACAATGTCCTCTCCATCTTCCTGGGAGCTCTGCATCACAGAGCTAAGGAGACCATGCAAATGGGGAAAGTGATTTGTCCAAGATGGGAAGCTGGCAAAACAGGCTAACCTTGAATTGAACAGAGTCCGCACCCATAAGAAAGAGTCCAAAGCCGCGACTAATGCAGCCAAAAGCAAGTTTCTGAAATCACAATGACAGATTCATGACAGGATCCTAGCGATATCAAATGCCACGCTATCTAAAACCATGTTTTCATTTTAAAAATTATCCTCATAGCATTCTTGGAGTCTGCTACCCACTTTAGCAAGATAAAGAAACTAGGTCCAAATATTAACTCCTTTGCTGTAGTCTGCATAGTGAGTCAAAGATGGAGTTGGAATTGCTAAAATGTCTCTGACTAAATGGAAAAGATAAGCAAAATCCAAAGGAGGAAAAAAAGAATCTGAGTGGGAGTCCCCAGAAATAATGCCTTCTATTTGTTCATGCATATTTACACATGATTACAGTTAATACCTGTAACAGTGTGTGGAGGTCTTACTATCCTTACTTGGCTCATGAGCAAACCAAGCTTCCAGAGGCTCAATGCGTTGTCACTAATAGCAGTGCCCAGACATAAACGAAGGAGGAACTAGAAGCCCACGCTCTTTCTTACAAATACCATCCAAGAGAAAGATACTGGATGGTAGGTCCCTGGAGGCCAGGGCTGTGGATGCCACATCACTACTATCTGCCCAACACTTAATCCAATGCTGCACAGAGGAGGGCCTCAGAGACGGCTGGGAAACGAAGGAAGGCAGTGTGGTGACCGGCAGCTCTCCGTGTGCTCCGTTACCAGGCGTAACACGAGGCAGCACACATTTCGACAAACTCCTCAAGTGATTCTAGGCAGAGGTGTTAAACCTTGGGGACATAGCTGAATCACCGGTAGAGTTTTTAAAAACTCTGACATCCTGGCCATACACCAGCACCTAGACCCGCTGTTGCGGGACTCCTGCCATAGGGGACCGCTGCAGCCCCCCTTTGTGCGAGGTCTCACTACGGAATCTTTTAATCCCGTTGAAACAGAGCTTTGAGGACATCACTGAGCAGAGTCCAAATGGTTCTGCTCTTTTTTTTCCTATTATACAAGATATTAAGTAATAAATAAATGATACCCAAAACTTTCCAGCCTTCTGACATGAGTGAATTCAGTCCTGGACCATGAGCAGACCTGGTTTCTCTAGTAACAGGGTGCACCCAAAGAAGTTTTGTTCACAGGTGACAGTCAAACTCTGTTGGTGGAGGAGCAACAGGCAATTGAGAACCTTCTTGTTGTGTTGGAGAGGTCTATGTGCTTGTAGGTAGAGCCCGAAGTTGAAGGTTCATGAGGATATGAGACCATAACCTTCTTATCTCATTCTCTACTCTAAGGGCTTTGTTTTTCTCTATCTAATAGAAATCTAAGACAATGAGCACTCATAATTCTAAAGAGAGCTGGAGTTTGAATGAACTCTGCGAACATTACACATTCTCCCTTGTAGCAGTTTATTTTCAGCAAAAGGGGCGCAGAGGTCTAGGTGAGTTAAGAACAACAGCCACAGTTTATTGAACCCATCTGTTTTCTTAAAAAGGTGAAATTGTTGCTGATGTTGCGCAGGCTTCTCTTAAGTCCATCTCAGGGGGATGGGCCAGACACACAGACTTTTGAAAGAGGTCCAGAGGTCATTTGGATGGACACCAGAAATGATGATCGATGTTCTGTATCAAACTCCAAATCCTCCTGTAGGTGAACTGTGGCCAACCTTTCATTGATCCGTCACAGAATGAGTGTGAGTCTTGAATCCACAACACCCTTCATTGTCTTAATGAAGCCCCCCTTTTCAGTTCTCCTAATTAAAAAGGGACTAGTGAAATCTAGGAAGGGTAAGGTACAAAAAAAAAAAAGACTTTGAAATTATAGCTAAAAGGAATTGGAATAATAACAAATTATTTTAAATGGTCTAATGGTAGAATTTTCTCAAAAGGAGAAAAACAAATGTTCAAGTAGCCCTTTTGAAAGACGGTCCCAACAATGAGGTCAGTCAAGCAAGTGGCATTTTTCCTTGGAATTCATTGAGGTATTCAGGTCATAATTGGCTGTGGCATTTGGGAAAATAAAAGGGAAGAAACTTGGCTCTTGGAAAGGAGGGAAAAATTATCTCAATGCCCCAGAAGTTCTCTTTCAAATGCCAGATTTGCAGTGGGACGTTTAGAGTTAGAATTTCCAGTAAAGAAGAGAATATAGATTTCAAACAAGGGAGAAGGTCAAGGAGATGGACAAAAAGAGAAATGAAAACTCTAGAAAAAACAGTCTGAGATAGTTGAATGCTCTCATAATCTAACTGAGTCATAGGAAACAATGATGTCGTGTCTAAATGTTAAGTTGGGGGCAGGGGTCTTGTGCTTAAAATCTGATTACACATTTGTAAAACAGGTGCACTGAAAGAACTCCACTCTCATTAAAAAGTCTCATTTATCAAGTTTAACATGATAATTCTTTATCATATTCCATCCTTGGAATCTGTCTTGCTTGCTTTTTATATTCTTTCCTTGAGAAGATTGAGGATTATTAGTATCCGTAATCCATCACTTGATCATATATTTCAGGAGTACCCACTATGTGCCTGGCATGTAAGAACCACAGAAGAAGTAAAGCATGATGCCTACTCACGGGAAACTTAAAATCCAGTTGTAGAAAGAGAACTTAAGTACATGCATATATTAAGTGACAATTGTCCACGTGATGCCAATCGGAAGTATAATGTAATTTCTGGATTGGGAGGGACCAATGTGGGTTAGGGTATTTGGGGAAGACCTCAGAGGGAGTTTGGGCCTGATCTAGACCTTAATGAATGGAACGGAGGTGGGAGGCGTTAAGTAAGAGAACGTGAAATGAGCTCAGAGGCAGTAAAAAGCTCAGAGGTAAAAGGAAATGAGTCTCTGCCTGAACACTGGGCTTGAAACACATATAGAGATTTGGGGTACGAGTCATGGAAAATGCTTGTGGTACAGTGGAATGAGCTCAGGTTTTGAGACTGAATTCTGATTTTGCCACTATGACCTCAGCTTTCATCTCATATGTGTTGAAAAAAGCAAAAAATTTAGATTTACTTATTTGAAAATGGCTCCTGACATCTCTGCTTGAATATTGCTGCTCAGCCTCCGTGCTTCTCCAAACTGCTTCTACCCCTAGCCGAGGACCATTGTCCCTCTCCCCAGTGCAGGTCATTACCCAGAGCTCTTAGTCGCCCTCCATTTGCTGGGCTGATGGATAGAGAGAGTCACGTTGAACAAGATGCAGTCCTGCCCTGACTCTTTCTTTTTCCCAAAGTGCCGTCAGACGAGGCTGTGTAGGTACAACAGGCTTAAGGCACTGGTGCTCAGTCTGGGCAGCAGATTAGAATTGCCTGGGGAGTTTCTAAAATACTCATGTTCAGAACACTGAATCACAATCTCTGGAGGGTGGAACCCAAACATTAGGATTTTCTAAAGCTCCCAGGTGATTCCAATGTGCAGCCAGGGTGGAGAACTGCAGCTTGAAAGCAATCATCTGGGAGATTCTGGTAGACAGTAATGTGTGTCACACTCCAGCTTCCACAAAATGATCCAGGGGGAGAGAGACTTTTAGTGCTAGAGGTCCTGCAATCCAGCCTGGGTAGTGCGGGCCCTTTTAGCCCGGTTCTCTTTAAGATCTGTGCACTAGTAGGGGTTTCAGAGCAGCCTCTTCCCTCCCTGGATTGGCTAATGAGTAACTGTTGAACCAAACACAAGCGTGGCTCCCAAGGATACATATCTATTCTCAGAGATTGTGCAGTCTAAGCTCACGAAGGGACTAGGAATATATTCATAACTGCCTCGTAATTTCTCACAAATGAGTTGACATGTTACACAATTATGCAGAGGTGTGTTCATTTCTTCCCTTGTTTTAGCTCTCTCATCCTATGCCTTTTTCAGTTTGTGGCCACTTGTGGCCCACTCAAAAGTAAGGAAAAAGCTCAGTGCTGAGTCGCATCCAGTTAATGGCACTCTTAGCCATACAAAGAACAGCTGGAGTTTGAGGATCACCCCTCAACAGAATTAATGCTCAAACACTTTCGTTTCTCTGGGAGGGTTCAGAAGGTAGGGTTGTGTTCTTCTAGATAGGACCTGTGCAACCTTTGGCTGAGTTTCTTAGCCTTTCTGAGCCTCAGTCTTCTCATCTAGAAAAAGATAATAGCATCAAACTGTGCGATCATTAGGCTATGATGTCTCATTTATGAAACAACGTAGAAAAAGCACAGCAGAGGCACTATGGGAGTGTTCGAAAGTTTATCATTATTATTCCAATTTGGAAAGATAAGTCAGCTTTTCATTTGAAGTAAGAAAAGAAAACAGAAAAAAAGAGAAGGAAGGATGGAAAGAGAAGGGAGAAATAAAATTCCTATTATTTGAATGCCCACTACTTGCCAAACCCTGTGTTAAGCTCTTTATAGGTATATTATGTTATTAATACCTACCCATGCAACAGGTATGAACATGATCGTTTTTATTTATTTTTTTTATTTTTATTTTTTTGGTGAGGAAGTTTGGCCCTGAGCTAACATCTGTTGCCAACCTTCCTCTTTTTGCTTGAGGAAGATTGTTGTTGAGTTAACATCTGTACCGATCTTCCTCTATTCCCTATGTGGGACACCACCTCAGCATGGCTTGATGAGCAGTGTGTAGGTCCATGCCTGGGATCCCAACTGGTGAAACCTTGGCCACCGAAGTGGAGCATGTGAACCCAACAACTATGCCACCAGACCAGCCCCAATATGATCATTTATATAGGTGAGAAAACTGAAACCTAAAGTGTTTAATCGAGAGGAAGTAACTAAGCCAAGATTAGAAAATAGATGTTAGGCAACCTTTATTTGTGACCTTACCTTGGGCTGTCTCTCTCACCCATGCCATTAGATGCCTGTGGTTTCCACATAGCTTTCAGACTCTTGCTGCTGTCTAGGAGGTCCGGAGCCTGGAGAGATGATCAGAGTTCCTGTACATACGTATGTGTGTGTGTTGTGTGTGTGTAGGCATGTATGTATTGCTCAGGTGGAGAGAGGAATTCAGGTTGAGTTAATTCTATTCCTTCATGGTGTATTTCCTCCAGTAGTTCATGCAAGACTCATCTCACTTTATTATTTCTTTTATTCTCATTTATCACAATTTCCCACTTCTATGACACTTGCCCTTCCATGGGCTCCCATCCTAATGTGTTTTCAGTTTATCCTTTATTTAGTGGCATTCTTAGAAAAGCTATATTGACTGGTGTGTGTGTGTGTGTGTGTGTAAATGCATAGTATGGTGAACATCATATGTTTCCAACTTTTTCACTCAATATTAATTTTAAAAATCTACCCATGTTACTGTGCACTTTGAGTACTTCTTCTCTTGTTGCATATATTCCTTAGTGTGCACTAAACCGCGTCCCCCAGTGGCAGACACCAAGTTTGGCTGCAGTACCTCAGGGCCACAAACAACACGATTCCCCTGTAGACTTGCATGAGACTTTTTCTGGGGTATCCGTCTAGAGGTGGAACTTTAGCCCACATGGTGAACTTGTTTTAAGTGAGTGCTGCTCACTAGAACGGTCTACACGCAATCTACTTGCTCAGGAGGCTTCCAACAACACTCCCACATGGCCGCCAGCACTCAGCGTTGTCCGGACATGTTATTGTAAAATAACGCTCACCTCTATTAACATTAAGATCTAAAAAAGAGAGAGAGATGGTCCAAAAAAGCACATTTCATAAATTAAATTCAGTTCTTAAAACAGCTTGGTTGTGATCTCTTTACTATAAGAGACTGGAAACAGTATGGAGACACAGTTTTTGTCTCCACTGAAGAAGAGGCTATCACATGCCCTCTGTCTGGAAGGATGGTTAGTGCTTTAATTAATGAGAAGACATGAAGCTTTCTTTTGTAACCACTGAGGACTTCAAAAATAATTTTTAAATGAGAGAGTGAGATGAGCACTAGTGACTTGGGCGCCTGGTCGGCCTGCCAAAGACAAAATGAGGACACTGGAGTTTCACATCAGGACATGGACCCGACAAGGCTACAGTGGCAAACAAGACACAAACAGTCCATGACCTCATGTAACTTCCAGGACGGTGGAGAAGATAAGATGGAAAGCAAACAGTCATTACGAAAGAGACCTGCGAGTCTGAGAGCTGAGTAGTCTCACTGAAACAAACCTTTGAACCATCTGGATCTCAGAGCCGGGCCACATGGGATCTGTAGCTTATGGGTTCTTATTACCCAGTTTAGAAGATGTTCCCAATTCCCCTGTCTGCAAGAAAGACAGAGTTCCTTGCTTGAAGAAGCTGCTTCCCAACTCACAATATATCCAGGTCCTTGTTCTTTTTTTTTTTTTTTTTTTTTTGAAGCAACATGCTCTTAATTTGAATTTGTCTGGCATGTCCAGATCCACCTTTTTGGCCAGAACATTATTCAAAGATTAATGGTCCTGAGAGAATAATGTTCTTCACACTAGATTTCTGAGGAGCTGTGCAATCTCTTTCCTACTCAGCAGCGAGAGTGATGAGCTGGAACAAAAGCAACCTTGACAGGAATTGTCCTCATCTATTATTTTCCCTCCATCTCGAGAGGATCCAGTGGGATCTTGAACTTGCCCCTTCAGCTAAGTATTTGGAAAGTACTTTGACTCCTGGCAACTTACCCAGTAGTCTGATCAATGTGACTTAGCTACCTTAGTTCTGGTTTGTGGGAAACAGCAGAATTTTCTATGGTTATTTTGTGCACTGTTACAAAAAAGAAATCTCTTCTTTCCCATGTGTGGGCTCTGTAGACAGGAAGGATTGTGAAGGAAAAATTGTATGGTAACAACAAATCTGACTGACCCCTGGGATTTCAAGTATGACGAGCAGTGCTTTTCTTTCCAATTTACAGATTTCATGGTGTTTAGAAGTAACTGGTAGGTTTTCTTTCAAGTCTATTAGAAAATATTGGTGTGTGACTTACTGTTGCTGTGACACATGGAATAAATCTCAGCGAAAGAGCTGCTCACTCTCTACATGGTATACGGGTTATTATCTGTGTTAAATGAAAAGATACTGTGCTTTTTATTTTACTTTGTAGAATTGAAAGTGTCTGACAAAGGATGTACTGAGATTAGGGAACTCTGGCATTCACTTCTTTACAGCCATCTTTATGGCTAATAGCGTCATGGAAATTATGAAGCTGAGTGGATCCTATAAGGATACCATTCACGGGACACTTGCTTCATTGTAGGCACTACATCAGTTGCTCATTCATCTATATATTTAACAAATATCCAGTGAGTACTTACTATATGATGGGCATTCTGCTGAATACTGAGGCTATAACGGTAAGACTTAGTCCCTAGCCAGTGAGGAAGACAGAACCTAAACAGAAAACACCCAGATCATCGTAAAAAAGGTTTAGAATGGTATAATAAAGAAACAGAGCACCACGGGAGAATAGGTGAGTAAGGCTAAGGACATGAAGACACAGAAGATTATGTTCAAGCTGAGACCTGAAGGATGAACAGGAGTTATGCAGGAAAAGAGAGAAAAGGGGAGTGATTTATAGGCTACAGGAATAGCCTTTGGGAAGATTTCAAGTCGAAAGAAAGATTATAGCACATTCAAGGAGCTTAAATGAGTCCCGGTTTCCTGCAGCTGGTGTGTGCGATCAGCCACAACACGTGAGCAGCGGCCGTAATGTGAAAGTCTTTGTAAACCTGGTTTAGGACTTTAGAATTTATCCTAACACCACATTAGATAGGTAGTATTATCTTCATTCAACAGATAAGAAAATTGGCTTAGAGAGGTTAAATATGTTCACCTTTATCCATCAAGTCACTGGTCAAGCCAGGTTTGTAAACAAGTACAGTCTAGCTCCAAAATCTATGACTTTGACCTTTTAATTGATGGCCTGTCTTCTAATCCACATAAAACTTAGCCACTGGGTGGCCTTATCTTGATGAAGAGTTATATTCAGAGAAACTTTGATCCCACAGTCAAACGTGATTTTTTTAATTGACTTTTTTTTTAAAGATTTTTTTTAAAATTTTTTTTCCTTTTTCTCTCCAAAGTCCCCCAGTACATAGTTGTATATTCTTTGTTGTGGGCCCTTCTAGTTGTGGCATGTGGGACACTGCCTCAGTGTGGTTTGATGAGCAGTGCCATGTCTGTGCCCAGGATTCGAACCAACGAAACACTGGGTCGCCTGCAGCGGAGCGCGTGAACTTAACCACTTGGCCACGGGGCCAGCCCCTCAAACGTGATTTTTTAAAGATTAAATATATACTACTGTCCCTCAAGAAAATTCCAAGAAAATATGAATTTCTAATCATATTTCAAAGTCAAGCTTTACACCCCCTTTTCCACCTCTTTTGACCTCAGTCACCCTCATGCTTGTAAGGCATTTCCCAGGGCTCTCCTCTTCCCACACTCTAAACACATATGCCCTAAGCCTTGTCCAAAGGCACTAACATGCCTTCATTCGCTAACCCTTGCTGTAATTTTCTTTGTTTGCTGCTAGTAACTCTCTGGCTACTCTAGTCTCAATTCAGCATCATCTGCAGATGCTCTAGTTCAAGCCTCTCTCTTTCCTCCAATTGGCACAGGCAGATTAAACTAGATGGAACTCTCCCTGACAATTCCCTGTTGGAGGACATAACTACCAAAATGACCACGGCAGAGGAGAACGCAGACCTAAGTTAAACCTTGTGGATGAGGTATATGAATGGGGTGTAACTGAGAGCCCAGTGTCTTGGAAACAGGACTGCTTCTCTGCAAAAACAAAACACCAATTCCATGTATTCTGGAGTGGGAATCACATAGAGTAGCTGGCCAGCCAGTACAGTAAATCTCTTGGGGGTGGGGGGAATATGGTTTGCTATGTGCAGCTCTGGGAAAAGCAAGCCATTTCCTGAATGCCCCTGCCCCAGAGAGAAACTGCAAGCCATTCCCACTTTCCCCTAAGTAGAAAAAGGCTTCCTCTGAAATGCCTCGACAGAGGAGCTTCAATCTGCCAAACATATCACCACCAATTACCCGGAGAAAAACTCCAATGCCATCCTTTACGGCCCCGCCCACACCTCTGAGAAGAGCAGAGAGCACAGCTCCTGGAAGGGTCGTCCAAGTCGTTTATAACAACTGTCTGCTCCCTTTTTTATTGCTGAATGGTATTTGATGGTATGTGTATATGACAGTTTTTTAAACCATCTTTCTGTAGAAATGAAGCTAGATTAGTGATTACCAAGAGTTAGTGTTGTGGAGGGCAGTTGGTGCAGAGTGAGGAGGGTGTGGTCATGAAAAGGCAACAGGAGGGATTACCGTGGTGTTGGACCTGTTCAGCACCTCAACTGAGGTGTTGGAGACCTGAACCAACACGTGATTTAATTGTATAGAACTTAAAACACACACACACACAAATAAGGAGGAGTAAAACTGGGAAAGCTGAATAAAATGGGTGGATTATATCAATGTCAATATCCTGGTGTAATATTATACTACAGTTTTGCAAAATGTTACCATTGGGCAAAATTTGGCAAAGTGTCTACTGGATCTCTCTGCATAGC